TAGACATTGGAACGGGCTTCCCAGAGAGGTGGTGGAGTTACCACCCCTGGAGGTGTTTGGGAAAAGACTGGACATGTCACTCAGTGCCATATTATACCTGACGATCTGGTGTTCACTCAAAGGTTGAGCTCTGTGATCTTGAAGGTCGTTTCCAACCTGTTTGATTCTGAGGCTCTGTGACTCCTGGGATCCCTACACCACACGCCCAGCCCTTGGTCCCACCTATTGTGAAAGTCACTGCTGGCTGCAGCAGGGGCCAAGGTCCGCCTGGGTCCAAGGCTCGAGGAAATCACCTTGGCCCCTGTGCCACTCAGCCTTCTCTGTAACAAGAGAAACTTTCTCCTTCACACCAACTCCCATGGACTAAATAAATAAATAAATAAATACAAAAGGTTCCCTACAACTTACAGGTGCTCTTAGCTTCACTTGTGCCCCCATGCAGGTGAATAGATTTAGCCTGGAGTGACGAGGGGCTGGTGTGACAAAGGACACATCACAGCCTCACTGTGCCATTATCTGACACAGCTTCACCAAGACAGAACAGCTCACAGGGATGCAGATATGTCAGACTGGAGTCAAACACCGGGTCTACATCTGTTCATATGGAAAATGGAATCCCAGGTAAATCATACAGAGAATGTCTTGTGTGCAGCCTTTGTCAAGGTCTGCCTCTTCTCTTGTGATACACCCTTGTGCTTCATGTGTACCAAAGAAAGGTGAAGTACAACTTAGCAACATTTCAGTAGTAACATTTCCCTTCTTTTCTCTTAATTTCTGCTAAACACAAACGTTAGCATCTCTACTACAACCATTAATCTTGGTACAGCTTCTTACAGTGAAATCGTTAATCTTATCCCACTCGGTGATGCAGAGAAGAACCCAGTTTACCTTTTAATAAATCAGACTGAGTCCTCTTTACAAAGCATATTTGAGCATTCATATTAAATCACCTATTGAAGAGTTGTTGTTATCTTTACCTGATTTCTTCACTTTGCCCAGGAGATGTGCCTTGGTAGCCCAAGCACAATTTTCTCATCTTGATAATAAAAATGAGAGAGAAACCAACAGGTAAATTTTTCTTTTCTTCTTTTTACATCTATTATGTGGAGCAAATATTTGAATGCATATCCTAGATCATTGAATATTTACCAGGCTACTGAATATTCTGGTGTCCTGTGGGATCTGTTCCACATTTTATAAATCAATGTTTATTGGACCAGAAGGGGAGAAAGAGAAAACTTAGCTCTCTTCCTGTAGAGGCCATCTGCATGCATTCTGCAGTTTCATTCCTGGTCAAGGACTGCCTTTTCTCTTGTGATACACCCTTGTGCTTCATGTGTACCAAAGAAAGGTGAAGTACAACTTAGCAACATTTCAGTAGTAACATTTCCCTTCTTTTCTCTTAATTTCTGCTAAACACAAACGTTAGCATCTCTACTACAACCATTAATCTTGGTACAGCTCCTTACAGTGAAATCGTTAATCTTATCCCACTCGGTGATGCAGAGAAGAACCCAGTTTACCTTTTAATAAATCAGACTGAGTCCTCTTTACAAAGCATATTTGAGCATTCATATTAAATCACCTATTGAAGAGTTGTTGTTATCTTTACCTGATTTCTTCACTTTGCCCAGGAGATGTGCCTTGGTAGCCCAAGCACAATTTTTTCATCTTGATAATAAAAATGAGAGAGAAACCAACAGGTAAATTTTTCTTTTCTTCTTTTTACATCTATTATGTGGAGCAAATATTTGAATGCATATCCTAGATCATTGAATATTTACCAGGCTACTGAATATTCTGGTGTCCTGTGGGATCTGTTCCACATTTTATAAATCAATGTTTATTGGACCAGAAGGGGAGAAAGAGAAAACTTAGCTCTCTTCCTGTAGAGGCCATCTGCATGCATTCTGCAGTTTCATTTGTAAAAGCAGCTACAACAGCCATAATTTTGGAAAATGTCTAAAGCAAGTATGTACATATATAAAAGAGGAAAGAAAATTAAGCCTGATGTTTACACCAGCACCAAAATGAAAGACAAGATAAAAGACAGGAATAAAACTGGCCTTCAACTTAAAAACAGAAGTGTCCAAATGTAACAATTCCAGTAAGAAAATTCTTACTGCACTTTACATTTTTTTCTTGAGGTGCTGGTGATACAATTGATCCCACTGAAGAAGCAATAAATTGTGCCACTGACTGATATGAGCACGACCTGTCTTCTTATATTTGTTGATTCTGGAGGCCTGAAGGCAGAGAAACAATCAGCATTATCATATATGGTGGGAAAATTCACCTAAAAAAGTAGCATTTCAGTATTTGGATGAAAACCAATCTTGCTGCGAACTGGGAGATTATTTTCTGAGAACTGTAGCAAGATGTATACATTGAGGGCTAAAGCAATGCTCAGAAGGGCTTAAAAAAAGTTCTGTTGAAAAATGACCATGAAAATAGCACCAGCAGAAAATTGGTGTTGGTCTAATGATCTGTGTGTATTTAGTGCATCCAAGGCTGGTGAACTAGGTTCAGAATGGTGGCATTCTGCAGAGCAAGACTGGGCAATGTCCAGAATTAGTATTTAAGAGATATATAGCCTAGATAGAATACTTATAGCTACAAAATGAACATTTAACATATGGATAAAGTAATGACTGGTTAGAGAGCTCCCATTAGAGATATAATAGGAAATGTAAATTAATATGGGAGTGAATACCATGCTACAGAAATGAATAAATGAACCAAAGGAGGGCTAGAGCCTCGATCCAAACTGCTGGATCATCCAACCGAACCAGCATTAAGAGCACTACGTGCAGCATTTCCAGTGCCATCAACCATCCTGGCCAAAATAAAGGTGGTGGCAAGGCAGATCCAGTGCAGAGCAAAGCTGAGCAGATCTGGGGCCCTGCAGGAGGCAGTTTGGGACCACGGGATGAGCCCTGGGTCCATGGGGATCAGCTGTGGTGTGGGAGCCGTGGCACACCAGGGGACAGTCGGTTTGAGATTTTAAAGAAAGGATCAAAATGTCAGTTGCTGGAGAAATAGAGAGGATGGGAATGGAAGTTGGCTGTTCCAAGTCTTGATTGTCTTAAAAACATTTGAAAAATTCAGTGTCAGAGAGGGAAGGGCAAATTAGTGCCACCTTCACAAGCACAGTGTGGTGCAGGGTCAGGGTCTGTGTTTGTAGACATTGAACCATCGGCAGCACCAGTGCCACTGGGCACTTTTGTGAGAAAAGGTGTGAAGTTTAACAAGAAGAAAATTTGTATGGAAGTGGCAGTAAGCAGCTCTTTTCATTGTTTACAGTGGAAACCATTCTTCAGTTTTTACACTGTTCATTTTTTCCTTGAATACAGTGAAAAAGGTAAATATGAAATTAAGATGTCTTAAAAGTTCTTAAATAATTCAAATTTTCATAATTTAAATATAAATTTTATTGATAAAAATTTAAAATGCAGATCTATATTCAGATTATTTCCTCAATTTCTACCTCATTAAAGCAGAAAGCAACAGAACATTGTGGACAGTATCACATGTTAAGAAAAAATTTGTTCATCATGTATGTGAAAGTATCTTTTTAAACATATAATATGTGTAGCTATTAAACAAAATTGATTTATTACACCAATAACAGAGCAATATAATAATCTAAAATGTGTTTATAAATTATTTATGTTTAATAAAAAATTATTTCAGCCATCATTATTCTTTTCAAACCTTGCTTGTGCAGCAAACTGTGCACTATACACGGTCCTGCTGATTTTGACAAACCTTGTACGGAGCACGTTTGCACTGCTGGAAATTCAAATAGAAACTTGCAGCCCCTGCACATTAACCATGAAGTCTCTCCTCCTGTCCATTCCTGTCACATGCTGGAACTGTTCCAAGTCCTTTTCCCAAGGCTCCTGCAATATCGCTGGTAAGATGTCATCCTTTATTAGCACGTCCACTCTGAGATACACTAACATGCACTGAAAACATAAAATGCACATCATCCATCTTTCATGTGACAGCTGCATCCCACCTACTGAACTTTCAAGCTCATGGCACACCTGGGTCAAGGTTCTGTTAATAAAATGATGCTGAGTGACAGAAGAGTGGGAGTTAACTGCCTGAGAGCATTTGATAAACTGCTACCTGTGATTTCTTTGGTTTGTTGCCTTGGGCGAATGTGCTAAAGAGGAAACAAGTAACTACAAGCCCCGTTTGTCCAAGTGGGTGAATGGAGATGAAGATGAAAGGCAATATACTCCTGTTACTCACAGCTTTATGATTTTTGTCCACTTTTTCAGAGAACTCTCTTTTGTTCCATCAAACAATTAGCTAAATATAGCTAAACTATTAGTGATAGCTAAACTATTCAAAGAAAGACAATTGTTTCTGTTCTTTTGATATGATCTCATTATTCTATTGTTTCGTAAGTAATCAAATGCATAGTGTTTCAGTTTAACCACTAAGGTTATAGTTGTATCTAGATATTGTCATTTTTGATAGTAAATAAATAACACATTAAACTCATAAATATGTTGAGATAGTCAAATGATCTAATATATACACATTATTAAATGGCAATTATGACAAGAATATTTTTTAAAATATTTTGATATACACTCCTCATTTTTTATTTGTTGCAGCATTACAAACTTTGAGAAGAGAATTTTGTAGATCCTTTGAAGTCAGACCTATTTTAAATCAACTATTTTGGAAAACATCGTTCTGATATAGCAGTATTTTAACACAGTTCAGTCTGGTGATGTAAATGAGTGGAGCATTTTCCCAAGACTTAATTGCAGTTCCAAAATACCAGGTGTGTGTGCTGCATGTTGTTACCATGTTGTACCTGAGTTCTGCAGTGAGTGCTGCTGTTCATTACAGCCATAGGCAAAGGAGGCAAGGGAGAAAGGCAAAAGAGAAAGAGCTTTTCAGTGTTTCCACAATAACCCCACAGACCTGATTTTTTTTTTTTTTTTTTTTTTTTTTTTTTTTTTTTTTTATGTGCAGCAGAAGACCCAGGAAAAAAAGGCAGGAATGTTCAACTTAGGCTCCTCTCCAGGATCAGCATCATATGGGAGATAAAAATACAAGCTGAAAAATTCAGCAGTTGATCCAGACTAAAACTGTCTTCTGCTCCTGGAACTATTCCTAGCTCAGAGAGGAAAAGAGGAAAGTGTCCCAACTCAGAGATGACTCAATGCAGAGTGGAGTGGAATGCCACACTGGCTCCCTGGGAGTTTGCCACAGTTCAGGTGTTTGTAGGTGTGATGGTGATGCTTGCACAAACCTTTTCAGGCCTCTGCCAGTGGCTGCTGGAAACAGAAGTAACTTTTAATCTCAGTCATTCTGTATCTGAATGAACTAAGATGTATCTGAATGGACTAAGATGTATTCCACAAAGTACTTGATAGAGAAGAAAATTAAGTAGAAAATTACTCTTCTGTATGCCACTTGAAAAAGTGGAATTCCTGTTCAGCCTACAATGTCCTCAGTAAAAAATAAAGATTGAAAGCACAAGCAGAATGAAAGTCAATGTGACCTCAATAGAGAAGAACAGAGTTTAAAAAAAATAAAAAAATAAAGCAGGGTATAACCATGTGCTCAAACATAAAGTACATAAAAGCAATTCCATTGAGTTCACCAGCACCAGTGATGTGCTCTGTGCCTGCTGGGAACTTGACCTCAGCAGGCTGTGTGCAACCTTCTTATCTTCAAGGGAATCACATCAAGAGAGTCTAGTGTCTCTGCAAGGACAGAACATAATTAAATGGCATCACATCTAGCAGAGGAAAGCATAATGTCAATCTGCACCAGTAGTAAAAATATTCCCTGCTTATAAAATTCCTTCAATGAATTCTCTTCTTTCCAGAAAAACAACATCCTGGCATTAGAAATGGTCAAGCCAGTGACCATAAGAAGAGGCAAACATGCATTTTCTTGTTTTGGTTCTTCCCTCGTGACTGCACACATCTACATCTGTGCTTGGATTTTTATTTTAAGACTGAAAAGGGCAGAAGGCAAGTGATTTATTCCAACATGCTGTGCCATTATAGCACTGAACTGGGGCTGGTTGGGCTGGGAAGTAATTGGCTGCTAAAACCAATAAAAGATGGCAGTACCTTTAAAAGACATCTAACATGCTAATTGTTAAATTAGGCTGAAATTGCATTATTCAAGAAAGCTTTCAAGTGTCTGAAATGAAAGAATGTCATACACTGGAAATGTACATGAAGAAATCTAGATCTCACTAGAGGGGACATCCACTGTCATTATTCTGCTATTTTTTTTGATTTGTCTTTTATAACAACTTTGTGACCAGACAGAAAGAAAAAAAAAAGCAAAAGCTAAGAGGTGGTTGAGAGTTTAAAGAATGAGCAGACAGATAAATGATGTAAGAATTGGAAAAATAACTCAACATTTTTAAATTACATACAGGGTAAAGCTGGTACAAAACCAGTTGATAAAAACTGAGGCTATTTTGAATGTAGATGTTATACACCTTACTATTTTTGTTTCAACAGATAATGTGCATCATCGAAATCAGTGGAATTATACCACTACAAATATATGTTTATTTCATATATAACAAGAAATAACTGAATTAATTTTCAAGTCTGCTTTTCCATCACTCTCCTTTGCTTGGTTATTTTGTTTGGTTTAGCTTTATTCCCTCCAAATGATGCCATCTATTCATGGCATCTTCTATTCATATTGCTATTCTCACAATTTCTGATTGATTTTCTTGTTAAATCCATCCATTCCTATACACTTTTGGTGCACAGACTGGAAGCAAATATCACGGCACATTTTGATTATGAAAGTACAGGTGCTAATGAACATTAGTGAGGTTCTGTGTGTGATTCAAACATAATCCCAACATGTACAAAATGAAGGAATCATGGATGCACTGTGGCTGGAAGGCCACAGAAGATCTTTGCCCAAAGCAAGGTTGCACCAGGGTGCTCAGAGATTTGACAGGCTAGGTGCTGAACACCTCCTGGGGCAGTGGATTCACTGCCTCTCCAAACCACCTGTCCCAGCCTTGACTGGATTTGCTGAAGTTCATCACCACCCTTTCTACATTTCCATCTAGACTCCAGCTTTAAAGGAAGAGTCCAGGGAATTCCAATTCAATTGAGTGGTGTAGCACAGTACACAGGGCTGTATGAGCAAAGCCCCACAGTCTGCACTTCCCTGCACTACATTGCAAGGAAAGATCCTGCTGTAGCTCAGTCTCTGCTGGATAGCGTGGCTTTTAGGCAGAGAAATTTATACTGTATAGAGTCCAAGACAAAAGCAAGGGCTGGGGTGGAGGGTGTCTGCTGAAGGAATGGCATGATTACTTAATTACTTTCCAAGTAATTCTTCTTTCTAATTTTACTTTACTCTTTTGTCTTCTCTTGCGTTTTGTTTGCTTTGCCTAACATTTTGTGTTCTTTATTGCTCATCTTTCCATTAGTACCACAGTGTATTTTTATCCCCTGTAAATGCAACACATGCTCCTGCTCCTTTTCTTGCAATGCTTCCAGCATTGCACAAGGATATCTACATTTTCCTTTTTTTTTCCCCATCTTAATACAATATACATCATATCTACTTCACTACTTTCCTCTCAATTAAATTGTTCTAAATTATTTGTTTGGTGTGGAGGGACAACAGAAATGTCATAAAAATAACTGCTTTACCTTTAATCACCTGGGCATCATAACAGTTTGTGTGTATTGTATTCAGTGCATTTATCTTATATCACTTGGTAAAAATTAATTCAAAATTTGGGAGTTCAGGTTTTAAAGGAGATAATTTTAAAAAAATTATATATCATAATACTGAGCCTGAATGGTGTTAATTAAAATGTCCTCCCCATAACTGGAATTTATTGCTTTGTAAAGAGAAGTTACTGTATCAGTGACATACTATGTTACATACAAGAAAAGTAGGAGATTTGCATCACAATTCTTACAAGATGTTTCAATTCTGACTTTCATTTTTCATAGTCCCCATCATCATTAACTATTTTTTGCCTTGTTACAGTAGTTTTTGTTGCTGGTATGTTAATAGCTTTTCCCAATGTGCCCAAAACAGTGCAAATCTTTTTGCTAGTCCACAAGTATTTCTTGACCTGTAGGAGGCAGCTTTGTTTATATTCCTCCTCAAGTCTTATAGTCCTCATCACCATTAACTATTTTTTTGGCCTTGTTACAGTAGTTTTTGTTGCTAGTATGTTAATATCTTTTCCCAATGTGCCCAAATCAGTGCAAATCTTTTTGCTAGTCCACAAGTATTTCTTGACCTGTAGGAGGCAGCTTTGTTTATATTCCTCCTCAAGTCAGTCAAGAATTGTATTATGAGTTCTGTTCTGTTCCTATAGAACTCCCCATGAAACCTTCCCTTTATTCCGACTGTGAGAAATTTATTTATTGTGGATACAGCATGTTCTTTGCCACAGTGATTCCAAATCCAGGTGCTGACAGTGTCAGCGAGAGCAGGGAGTATGAAACACTTTGCTCCCTCCTGCTGGGAGCTGGGCAGGATTCCAGTGCCGGTCTCTGCCCTCTCCTCGGAGGAGCTCTGTGATCCAGCAGCCTTATCCCCATGGCTCTGCACTGCTGTCCTGATTCCAGGCCATCTCCTGACTGCACAGTAGCACAGAGGAGTTTGCATTGTGTATCCTCTTCCCTGGGTTATCTACAAGCTTGATAAAGGCCTGACATCCTCTTGGTTGTTAATCCATCTGTACTTACATACAAGTAGTACAGTTAAGGCTGATATATGGCAAATTCTCCAAATAATCCATTCCAGGGAAAATGAGGACCTTCTGCCTGCCCATGCATAGCAGTCTAAGGGATAGCTAGCTGGCTAAAACATCACTTAATTTATGATTATTCATGTAGGTGGCTACAGCTCTATGTAGCTCCAGTGCTATTATGCTGCCTTTTGTTATAAGCTGGAAAATGAATTTTTTTTTTTCTTCTTTTCTTTCTTGAAAGCCCTTTCAAGAAGCGGTCTGTGGTGTTCTCATTAGAATTTAATCTCTTATGTTTTAATAACTATCCTAGTGGATTACTAAAGTGTTAAAATTATCTAAAAAAAAAAGAAAAATAAAATTAAAAAAAATTATATAATTAGTTAACAAATTAGGGCTACTTGCCTCAGATACATTCTGTTTGGACAGAAACAAAACTGTTTTATAACAAAATGAACTCGCTCACTGATAACTTGCATATTCTCAGAAGCAGAAAACAATTTTTTTTTAAACCACAGAGAAATAATGTTTCAAAACAAATAAATGCATTTCAAAGCATAATTGTATAATTTATCAGGAAGAAGGTTTAGTCCCTCCAACACAGTCACAAACTGTGTAGCGCATTACTTCTTTTAATAAATTTGAAAAATTGTCTGAAGTACCAGTATTTTTCACTAGCACCCAAATTGCATCCACACAGTTATGTGAAGGTAGCATGGACAGGCAGCAGTCCCACACACTCACTGCTAATGGAACCTCTGGAACAGGAGCATTCAGCCCACAGCTGGGAAGCAGCATTCAGGAGTCTCAGGGCAGGCTGTGGTGGCATCTGGGGTGACCCAAAGCAGTGCTGTGGAGGCCAGCAGGAGCTGGGACCCTGCTGGGTGCCGTGGTAATGAGGTTGGCCATGCCTGGCAAGAATCAGCTGAGGAGTATCAGGAAGGGAGGGTCAGGCACTGTGTGTACCCTGAGTTTCCAGGAGGTGAGACCACAGCACCACTGATATTTCTGTGAATGACTTGCAGAACCTGCCAGGACTGGAAGATCACAAAGCAATGACAACAATTCCAGATACTTTACTCCCAGGGAGCAGGGACTTGTGCTTCTCATCAAGCCCTCACTCAGAGGGTTGCTGTTCTGTCTGGACACTGAGGTGACACTTGAGGACACAGGAGGCAAGAAGAAGAGAGATCTGATGACATCTCAGAGACACTCACAGCTCCTATGAATGGCTGTAATGGGACACAATCTAAACAATTCTCTGGAGGGCAGCTTCCACAGAGAAGAATAAATCCATGCATGTCAGAGTGCAACTGCCCACCTTTGGAATATGGTTGCCCATCCCTGGCCACCACAGATGTTGGGACCATGTGTTCCTGTCCTGGATTGTCAAGCAGATTGTATTCTGTTTGCCATCTGTATGGCAATTGTCTTCTGTTAAGTGGGCAGTTTTCCTTATCTCTTCCACAACCACTCCTCCCTCCAGAGAGACATCTGCTGATAACAGGCTATGGAATGTCACTGCATGACTGATAACTACAGCATCCCATTGGGAGATCCACCCAGAGGGAGGAGCCAAGCATTCCTACCCAGATACAATCTGGAGATTCTGGAACACCACCATGGCTTCTCCACTTCATTTCCCAGAGGAACAGCAGCTGTCTCTTCTTCCACTGGATCTTCAGAGGAAGACTACACCCTTCTACAGGATCCCTGCTCCAACAGAGCCACACCTGATACTGCAGGAGGGCTGCAGCCACAATTCCAATTGCACTGCTACCAACACCCTGACCAACAGGGTGTCAGGTCATATTCTGACTCTGTCAGTGTTTTAGATTACTGCATTGTTTTTTTTATCTTTTTTCAAATTACTTCCTTCCCTATTAAACAACTGTTATTTCCTGCTCCCATATTTGTTGCCTGAGAGTCCCTTGATTTAAAATTTATAGCAATTTGGAGGTGAGAAGGGGTTTACATTTTCCATTGCAGGGGAGGCTCCTGCCTTCCTTAGCAGACACCAGTCTTTCCAAACCAAGACAGTTCCCAAAAATGACTAGTCACCAAAATTGCTGGAGATCTCAGGTCTGCTCTTCACACAGCAGTAAAGTCCAGCAGCTGTGTCCTGTGCTCAGGAGGAGCAGGACCATCAGTGGGATACATTGCCTGGAATTTGTCCCCAGGACCCAGAAATTAATTTGGCACACAGTTGCCACCTCACAGAAATTGTTGTCCCTCTCCCAGCCACACATCTTACTACAGATGGATTGAGTAGTAAGTAGCTGAGCCACAAGCATCTCTCATTATCTGCTCCTCTCTCTGGTAGTTGGTCACCACTACAGAACTGGGCACTGAAATACATTTTTGCACAGAAATGGGTAGAGCTAATGAGAGCTCATTTTTTAAGGCCTGAGTCTTACAGAGTGTTTCTTACAGTAAGTGTTCTCTCAAGTGATAGCTAAAAATTGCAATTTTCAATAAAGCCTTACAATGTGCTATCATTACTGTGGTGAAATATATTTTTATTATTGGAAAAAATGAAATAGCATTAAGCTGCTGTTATATATAGCAGCATGTACTATCAATGTCTTGTATCTTGCTGCTGATAAAGCAGGAACCTGAAAAGTCCCTCCAAGATTGATGAATCAGTCCAGGTCCTTAAACGAGGAATCAGGTGGAAATGGAAATTCACCACATACAGCTGGAGTTGCCCCACAATATTTGAATACAACCACATTTTGCAAAGTGGCCATTAATATTGGTTCTGCTCATTTTTATCATCCAAATCAATACCTCATAGATGTGATTTGTGAGGAGGGCACTTATTAAATGAGTTCAATTTCACGTGCTGAGCTATAGTTGAGATGTATGTAAGAAATGCTGATCAAATATTTGCTTCCAGATGCAGTTATTTTAGTAGTAAGTTTTTGAAATAAAATCTTAGTTTATGCCTAAATCCAGTTGCATTTGAATGTTTTTATTGGAAATAAGCTATACTGGTGATAGTGTCATCTGTGAACAAGAGACTCACAGGCTGCTCTCCATAAGCTTGTTATTATTAATTTTTTTCTGCTGGAGACTTGCACATATTTTAGACAATTTATTTTGTGTTGATGCTTTGCATATGGAGTAATAAACAGGTTTATCAATATACACTCCATTTTAAACCAGTATATTAAACAACTGAGTTAGTTCTTTGCACCTTGCTTCAGTTGCATTTGAAAACAAGGTTACATTTTCTGGATTGGTAAATAGCACTGCTAACAATAAGAAAAATGCTATGTTCATCATGGAGCACTTCTGTGGTTAATGAAATATTAGCAATTTTCTGTACAGAATATGTATTCCAGTTTTTTAAAATATTAGTTTAAACATTTTAAAAATATTATTTAGACTGCCTCTGTAAGGCAGCAAAACCATTTTCCTAATGATTTCTGGATTTGATGCTCATCTTAATTGCTGATAATTTCCCCTATTTAACAACACCCTAAAAATTAAGCAATATGAAATGTTGCCGAAAAATATTATTTAATCATAACAGATGTAAATTCACAAAAACCCCTCCTAAAATATGACTTCTCAGACCTAAATAATAAATTGCCCCTTCTGGCAATCTAATTGGACAACTGAAGAAGTTTCCTATACAAGGGAAATCAAATACTCCTTAAAAAAAAAAAGAAGGTAAATTAGTATTTCATGTTATAGACTCAAGTCTGCAAAACTTCAGTCTCATCATGTTGCTCTAGTTGTACAAAATGGGGTAGAAACAGCCTCAGGGAAGAATCCAAAAGTAATGAGGTTAGTTCAAGTGGAGCTGACAGAACAGCTCTCTATCAGTCCCCCCGCACTAAGCCATAGATCCAGATGCAGCAGGTAAGATTCACCTTAAACTATATTCACCTTAAACTATCACACAATCAGCAACAATTTTTCTGTGGTTTCGACTTCTGTTTTTCTAGTTAAACACACAATTTAGGATAGAGTTAGAAGGTACAGACCACAACCTTTACGAGAAGTTAAAAATCAAGATTAACACCTGCCTTAGCAGAGCTCTGCAGTACATCTGCACAATTTCCCCCTTTTCTACAATAACAGTATCTGCCTAGCTTTAAAATAGTTTGTGTATGAAAGATGGAGTAACAGAATGTATTTTAGTTCACCCTGGACTTTTGATGACAATATACCTGCCATACCTACAGTGGCACAAGGATAATTAATTGAGACATTGCCAAAGGGACATGACACTTTAACTGATAAATTCTTTACATTTTTCTGAAGAGTCACAGCCAGTATTTCAGCTTTAGGCTGGTTTATTGCCTAGAGCAAATGTGATTTTGATAGACTTACAGAAGCTATGGAAAATGTGATCTAGAATAGCTAAATGTTTCAAACATGAAAAATATTCCAGGGAAAATAGAAAAGCTGCTGCACTTGAACTTCTTCATGCAAATAAGGACTTACCTGAATATAAATGATGTGCATTTTTGAACAAGGCTGCCAAGCTGAAAAAAACCCAAAGCATATTAATATTATAATTCCAAGATAAGATAGTTTGATCTTAGTTTGATAGAGATTATTTAAAACCTAGATTAAGGAGGTCATCACAGTGCAAATCATGGATAGAAGAAAATGAAAAAACAGAAAATAGAAATCCTAGCAGTAGTTATTTAGTGAAAAACCAATTTAAACCCAGTCTAAAAAAACTTCTAAATTAGAAACACCAGTGGATTTTATTTTTATTAGTTCTCCACCGTCCCTCCATCATAGACACAAGTCTTCAAGATAATAAAGTGTTTTTGTTAGTATAGCTGACTTGGCCTGATGAACCAATCCTTGCCAAAATAGTAATTTACTGATATAACTCTGCCAGCAGACTTTTCCATGTGTATTATCCAGCCTCACACAAGGTCTGCCCCTGCCTTTCTTTGGATCCTTAATTGGCTATCACCCTCTTTAGGCAGTTTCACACCATGCTATCTAAATGAAATATTTCAGTGATTCAGCAATGACAGCTAGAGAAGTCAAAATGTTTGAACTTTTTTTTGTATGCTAGTTTAATATAAGTAAAATGTATAAAACCGTCAAAACTGGTCTAATGTCAGAGTCTTGTTGGATTCTCCGGGCATATTCCTGCATCTGAGCAGGATTAGAGAGAAGACTGGAAAGGTTTTTAGTCCCAAAGAGCAGATGCTGCAGGCGAAAGTGACCATTACCCTTAATGACAAGTGAATATCATCTGTGGTCACAAGTGCCATTTCAGAAGTGATGTCAAGTTTCAGCTGAAAAAGTTTCTCCCTGATAGAAAAAACTAAAACGGGAACTACCTGAGCACCAGACACTGTGCTCCAGATTCTGAAGAAATATTAATGGAAATGCTAAAATTTTATTTCTTCAAAGACTTAAGAGATCCTCCCTTACAGAAAAGTTGATTATAAGAGTTTTCTTCAGGAAGAAAAAGTAGATCAAGGATAGCTCCAAAGAGGAAGTAACAGTGAGGGGCATTAACAAAATTTATACCAGTAGACATGGACAGTATTTTGGTGCGTGGAGAGGGGTGGGAAATTGTGTATGTATTTTGTTGGGGTTTGTTTGTTTTCATAGGAAAAAATCAGAATTTGGGTTCCTTGGCTTAAGAAACAGCTTTGGCAGGATAAAAATGGAAGCAAGGTTCCTTCTTATAGGTCAGATGGCAGCAATAATAAAACAAGGCTAAGGCTACATTCACTGGATCTGTGTATATCCCCAGGCTGTCTGTGGAGGCTACGCTGACTCACAGGCAATGAAACTTGGCACTGCCTTTCAGATGTGGGTAAATTAGGTCAGGCTAATGTGAAACACAACCAGGCAAACACTTAGAAAAAAAAAATGTTCAAGTGATTGTGATGCCCATGGCACACTAAATGAAATAATAAATTTTTGAGAATTTCAGTGAACTTGTATTTTCAGTGAACTTTTATCTCAGTTATTCTGTCACATACTATACTTGGAATGGGTCTATCAGATTTATTAACTTATTGAGACAAATGTTTTTGTTCCAGGTTTGTAAGTTCTAGAAACATGCTGACTAAATGCATCGTGTCTGGGAAAAGAGCAGCCTCCTTGAATGAGAACAGTTTAAGAAAAAATTAAATAAAATAGAGAAGCACAGGTACAAAATTATGAAGAGCAATAAACAGAAGATATTTACTACACAGCTATATCTTCTTTTACTTTTTGTTTTCTGCAAAATCTGATAAATATTAAATATCATTAAATATGATATTTCATTGATAACACTGGAGTTCTGATATCTGTTATTACTAAATTCCTAGTGCTAATAAAGCAGAATCTTTAAATACTTATTGAAGTGTCTTCTAAACAGTGAATGGGCCATTAATCCTCCTTTTTAAAAGTCAATAGATACAGAGTATGTTTTTCAATGATCACACTGTTTCTAGCTACCAATTATAACCTGCTTTTCTTCAATCTAAGGAGCCCAGACTCATTCAGCTCATAAAATATGTGAACATATTTGTGCCATCTCAAAAGCAGATAAGCTGAATTTTTAGATGTTTTATGTATGGGATGTCAGTCTTAACAAATGTTGCAAATACATCCCAGCAGCATAAGAAGACTGTTTAAATTCTATATATTAAGAAAAAATAGAGAACTGAGTGACATTTTATGCCAGTTACTGGTAATATGAATGATGAACAATATCTAGAAATACACATAAATACATGTGTATACCTCAAAAATAAAGATTGCTTTGAAAGAAATGGTGCATCATTTCTTTTCTTCTCATATCTAGGGCACGCTGAATGAATTTCAAAGATTAAGAATGGAAGACATCACCTCATTGCAAGTTAACAGCCTTGGCTTTAAGTATCTGCTTTCCCCACATGCTGTTTGCCCTCTGTAAAGCATGCTGGCAGTGTGAGACAATGGAATTACAAAGCTTTTCTAAAGCAGATGTGTCTCAAAAATTTAAAGCATCATCTTTAACAAAAAATTACACTTACTTCTATGTGTTACATCATGTCAACTCCAGATGTTCCTCTGCTGTGGGGTCCCTCCCATGGGAGACAGTTCTCCATGAGCTTCTCCAACGTGAGTCCATCTCCTGAGCAGCAGCTCCCTGCAAACTGCTGCAGTGTGAGTCCCTCCCATGGGCAGCAGTCCTCCCAAAACCGCTTCAGCGTGGCGTCCCTCCTGTATGGGGTTCATTCCTTCCAGGACAGGCTGCTCTAGCATGGGCTCCTCTCTCCATGGGCCTCCCACAGGGTCACAGCCCCTTCTCAGGTACCCACAGCTCACCCACGGGCTGCAGTGGATCTCTGCATCCCCATGGAGCTCCATGGGCTGCAGGACACAGCTGCCTCACCATGGTCTCACCACAGGCTGCAGAGGAATCCCAGCTCCGGTGCCTGCAGCGCTTCCTGCGCCTCCTTCTCCACTGACCTTGGTGCTTGCAGGGTTGTTCTTCCCATATCTTCTCACCCCACTCTTCTCTGGCAATCTCAACTGCACAATAACTTTTTTTTTTCTTTCTTCTCAAATGTGTTACCACAAAGGTGTTACCACCCTATCAAGTTGGCCCAGCCTTGGCCAGCAGCACATCCATCTTTGGAGCCACCAGGGATTGGCTCTGCCAGACACGGTAGAACTTCTGGCAGCTCCTCACAGAAGCCAGCCCTGTAACACCCCACTACCAAAACCAGGCCATGCAAGTTCAATACATCCCCATTCTAATCTTCTGTAATATTGCCATAAAAGAGGACAATGAATGAATCAATAAATAAAAGTGTCACCTTTGATTTCTGGGAGCTCACATGACCTGCCTTTCCAGTTCAGCATTTTAACCCCATACAGGGTTAATTTTCAATTCACATTCAGAAGTGCTTCCATGAGGTAAAATGTCTGAGCATTTGCCTAAAATTTTAATTGAATGTGGACCAAATTCTTCATTGTCCACTTGATTTACATTTGGGAGTAGGTTATTGTTTTTTGAAAACCCTTCTGTAAAATATGGATTATAGATTGTTTGATGATCCAAGAAAGTGACTCAGTGGGGAAGTGTGCAGTGAGTATATTGAAATAGTCACGGAGGAAAATCACTAAGATTTCTGAAGTGTTTGGTGTATTTTAACTGTGAAATACACAGTCTTTAGATCTATACAGTGGTCAATAGTGATTTTCAGAGCTGTGGTAGATGTCTGAAGGATTTGTGAGGCAAAGAAATTTTCTAACCTAGAGCTTTTAGAATGCTAAACTATCTAGACCAAATATATTTTTTTAATCATTACTCAGAAATAAAATATATTTAGCAAAGTATATATTATATACAAGCTAATTCTAGTAAGATACTCTTTTACATAAGCTCCAACCTATTCCCCAGCCCAACTGACTACCAAGGTGCAGAGCAGCTGTGCAGCATGCATGTGCATGCACAGATGCACATGTGTTACATGCTCTGTTCCTCTTTTGCTCAGAAGAAATCTCTACAGCTCTGGTAGAAACAAGGTTTCCAAAAGCACATACTAAATACCCAGAAATCAGGCTCCAGAATAATACACTTCCAACCAGATTAATTACTGGTACATTAAGTAGAATGGAAGAAAATGTCGTTTCTTTCTCTTCCACTTAATCTTCAAGCAGAATTTCCTTTACACCAAACACAACTATCTTATCTTTTCACACCAAGCTGGAAGTGCATTGGCACCAAAAGATTGATAATCATCAATTCCTTATTCTTACCTTGTACCATCCTCCCCTTGCACTGGCACAAGTGTGAAGAAACTGACCTGGGCTATCAGAGACCAGTGTTTTACTGGTCCTCTGGTGGCTTCCTTTAGGTTTCTGCAGCTTGGGGTGCAAACCCAGCCCTGCCATTAATAAATGCAAAAGGCTTTAGAAGTCCTCTCTCCCTTACCAGAAGCTATATGTAAGCCTGAACCAGACTTTTTTTCCCTGCAAGATAACTTCCAGGTCATCTTTTTATTCTTTAATGTTATTAACCCTAACCTCATGTTAATGTTACCAAGTAACAGTCACATTAAGTTGAAACTAATACTCTGGGAGTGTGGGAGGAGAAACAGAACTTGAAAGATCTTTGTTGCCAAAAAAAAAAAAAAAGGTGTTGTAGTTAGCTGGCAGACAGTGGAATAGTAGCTATTGGTGTTCAGGCCATGGCTCTGTAACTACTCTTAAAGGCCTTAGGAAACATTCTAATTCAATTTGAACCCCTCAATTCTTAATTAAAGTCTATCAATGCCAGCAAAACAACAGCCATAGGAAATCTGAATGCAATGGAAAGAATAGCTCCTGCTTTATTCTTCAGACCTCTTGTGCTTCTGCAAATGATGCCACTTACAGCTGTGTTGCTGTATGACATCTTTGGGAAAAGAAACAAAGATTTGATAAAAGCCAAGCTAAAAGCACTATTTTAAATTTTCTTTGTAAGTGTATAAAGGTCTAATTAGCATGACTCATCTGGAAAGCTTATAAATATTTGAATAGCCAC